GTCTGTTAGAGACTAAATTCCAAGTCTCTAGAGTAATTTCCCCAGTCTGTTTTTTTCCAAATGTATTGAACTCCAGCTTGTACAATCCTTAGTCAGCAGACGCCTCTAAAAATATCCTGCCTGGATCCAATTCTAGATGTTTTTATTAGGTATCCTGGTCTATTTTTAAAAAGTTTGCTTAAAGTGAAATTGTGAAAAATCTTCCATCTGCCTTTCATCTCCCCAAGAATGATTATCAGGGGTCGCTTGCTGCTTTAAGTAGCTACAGTGATTTCCCTCAAATGGGAAAGAGGATAGAAGCTATTTGCCCTACACAAAGGTGAGTCAGGAACATTAATATGCTTGCTCAGTGCAGAACACAGCAGTTGTACAAGTCCTTGACTTACGATCACAACTGGGACCAGAATTTTGGTTGTAAGTTGAGGCACCCACATGATCAGACCCAGTTTTATGACTTAATGACAATCACTAAGCAAGTCACCCAGTTGTAAGTTAGAATCCATATACCTCAGTGTGCATTTTGGTGCCAGAAACTGGCAACTCCATCTTATTAACCCTTTTGAGGTAAACCATTAACACACCATTCAAAAGAGACAACAAAAAGCTTAAGAAAGAAACAAAAACACACTCTTTAGTATCCACACTAAGGTAAGCCAGGATTAACACCAGACAAATAATGAAGCAGAAAACTATCCTAGTCAAGGAACTGCTAAGGAGGCAATCAAGCAACAATAATCAAGAAGACCACAATGCCACCAGCACTGGCACAGCAAGCTACAGTACACAAAGAGGGAGCAAGGCCCATAGTCACTAGCGCTGATGATGATAATATTAGGTAAGGAAATGTCTGCAAGTAGACAGCCAAGTTCAGAAAGTGCCAAGGACTCCATAAACTCTTTAAAGGGGTCTGTGTAACCCTGACATATTCTTGCAAATGCAGATGATGCCAGAGTCTTTGAACATATCAACTTCCCAATTATTTACTTCCAAGAATCTTGGGTCAAGACTCTGGAGAGGTAGCAGTGGAATAGACACATTAGTGGCCATAAACTCAGTGGTTTCTCCTCAACTTTATTGATGCACTTTGATGCACTGTCCCTCTGGAGGAGGTTTGGTGGAAGCTTTAGGCAAGTTTGCTATGAGTCCTGTATTTGTTAGCACTCTGTTTTAGTGGACCAATCTGGCACAGTCTAGGAGCAGATGGGATGTAGCTTTTGGTTGGCCTGCTTCAGTTCCATAAGATGCCTCATCACTCTGCTCTTTCTTTCTCTTGCTGTGGACCTTGGGAATTTTGGGATAATCAAAACATTAACAGTACCTTGTGGAAACTTTATCTCCAGAGACCAGATACAAATCGTCCATGGAATAAAAGCTGGTAGGCTAGTGAGAACCATCTCAATCTCCAAAGAGAGAAGCTATTTAAAAGACACCTTTGCTGCCAGGTTAAAAGGCTCAAGAATGTGTTTATTGTGGGTTTAATGTGCACAAGTAGACTGGCTTCATGAATGGCACTAAGCCAAAATGTGGTTTATTTGGGGTCTTATTTGGAACTGGGCTTGCACAATGTGCTACGCCAAACATCTGTTAAATCAATAATTAGCTATTGAACTAAATCGATAGCTGACTGGCTTGTAACACCTTTTCCTAAGGATCCAAAAACATATCGCCTATTAACGATGGATGGATGGTTAGTCAGGGGTAGGCAACCTTGGCTCTTTTATGACTCGTGGACTTCAACTCCCAGAATTCCTGAGCCAGCCATGCCGAGGGGAAGGGAGAGGTTTCCAAGCTGAGCCATGCTGGCTCAGGAATTCTGGGAGTTGAAGTCCACGAGTCATAAAAGAGCCAAGGTTGCTTACCCTTGGGTTAGTCAATTTAGTTAGTTTTATTGATGTACTGTGTTTCCCTGAAAATAAGACCCGGTCTTATTTTTTATTTTTGTCTCCAACAGAGACATCAGGTCTTATTTTCGGGGGGGGGTGTCTTTTCCACTCACCTCCGGCATCAACAGCCCTGCCCAGCCAGCCCACTTCTTCTGTCGTCGAAGGAGCAGCCTCATTCTGCTGCTGAGAATGGAGCTCCGGCCTACATCTCGCCATCAGAGGCCTTTCAGGAAGGCTTGTGCAGCTGAGAACCGAGTTACCATAGCTTGGTTCTCAGCTGCAGTGGCCTTCCAGAAAGGTCTCTGACTGCGAAATGTAGGCTTCAGCTCCATTTTTAGCTGCAGAATGAGGCTGCTCCTTCGGCCGCAGAAGAAGTTGGCTGGCCAGGCAAGTGTCAATCCAGGGGAGACCTGGCTGCAATGGTAAGCTCCACCCCCACTCTAGCTTGATTTTTAGGTGTGCACCTTGTCCCAAAACTAGGGCTTATTTTGGCCCACCCCCCCCAAAAAAATCAAGGTAGAGCTTATTTTCGTGGTAGGCCTTACTTTTGGAGAAACATAGTAGCTGAATTAGTTGGCTGACTCAAATATATGTGTGGGCGTTGGTGAATGTTCAAAGGTATTGGGTGTTGATTTATTTTACTAAGTAGTGAAATCTGTTTCAGCCAAGGCTGTGGAAAAAAGAGAGAGAGTGAGAACCCTGGACTGTTGAGCAGAGCTTATACAATTTTAACCTTGCTTAGAAAAGTCCATACAGTTTCTGAAGGAAGAAGATTAAAATTGATGGACAAGCTACCCTAAGAGATCTCCCCTTCACTGCAATATGTCACCTCCTAGGATTTTTCTAAGTTTGGGATCCCCCTCTGAAGCCTATGAAGACTTTATCCATCATAACCAGAAAAAGAGAATAGGTGTCTATAGTCTAGCTCCTAAGATTCGACCTCTTCCCCCAAGAAACAGGTGAGGTGGGGATAAGCTTAGACTGGATGAAGATGTGATCAAAACACTAAAGCAATACCACCAGTTTATATTGTTTTGGGATGGATCATATAAACGGCCGACATTTTGTGAATATGCAGCTATTTTCTGCCCTCGGAATCCCAAATTTTCCTTCCTAGCATCAGCCAAAGATTGGGGGCCTCTTTTCCAAGGCAAAGCTTAGCAGTCTGGCTTTTGAGTATTTGGAGCTTAGATCCTCCTGAAGTCTAATGTAAGCCAAGATAGCAAGGTATTGAGAAGTTCTGCCCAGAATACCTCCTGCTTCTTAACATTCAAGGCAATTTTCAATCAAGAGAAAAATGGAACAAACAGAATAAATGAAAACAGTTTCTAAGCCTATTTAGGAAAATCCATCCGCTATTGGTGACAAGGTATCCTGCAGAAAAGGATAGTCTTCAAGACGTTCTTAAGGACCAAGAGATGTGTGTGTGGGGGGGGGGGATCATTCCTGAGCTCATGCTAAAAGACCATTTCAAACAGGGTTAGGAATCTTTGCAGGTCCATCAGATCTTCTCCTTCGATGAATAAGCAAGGACAGTTGTTTGCTAAAGATGGGATGGTGGGAGAGGCAGTCTGCACCTGTAAGATGGATTTGTCTTGGATAAGGGAGGAGAAAGGGCCAAGAGACAGGATTACACTACAGCTAAGAGCTACTTTGATGAAGCCTGGCCTTCATAAAGAACAAAGCAGGGCTTGCATGGGCTGTTGCAGCTGCTTAGTCAGCTCCTCCGTCTTTTAAGAGGGACAGTTTTGTTGCTGCTTTAAAAGAGGGGACTGTGATTAATGTGAAGATCATTGGTGTCTTAGGTTGGCTGGGCCTTTTAAAATAGTCATAAATCCTTCTCGCTTGCATTCATGGTGTTTCCCCCTTAATTGCATGTCCAAGTCTTGGCTGGTTGGGAGCGGAGCCCTGAAGTCTACTTACAATGCCCAGGTTCCAGCTTGCAACTGTTAAGGGATAGCATTGGATTCTGAGCATATTTTGAATTCACTCTTCTCGCCATTGAGGATGGAGAGCTCTTGGGTCAAAGGTGCTGCAGCCAATTAGGTCTATGCCCTAGGTCAGGGGTCTTCAAACTTGGCAACTTTAAGACTTGGGAGTAGAAATCCACAAGTCTTAAAGTTGCGAAGTTTGAAGACCCCTGACCCTATGCAAATATGTGATTTGAATAAATGTCAGGAAAGAGATTCTTATATTTTCCTCCCACCTTTTCCTCTGAGAAGACTTCTCTTTGGTGGTTTTTTTCCTCATTTTGTTGGTCTGTTGTTCTCCAGATGGTTTATCATACTCTGCCAATAGGGCTAGAGACTCCACCACAGCTGTACAGCACTAGATTAGGGAAGGGTGGCAGTTTTTAGTTAGGATAGAGATTTTGTGGACTTTGTTCCTTCTTTCATACTGTGGCTTATAAATTGGCCTCAGCCACTCTTGCTAAGTGAGAAGGCATTTAGTTGTAGTATTATCACAGAGGGGCACCAAGTGGGGGAAAATTTGGCACAGGATATCTACTTGGGACTTTTTTTTAATTTTTTTTTATTATTTTTCACCATACACCATATACCCAAACAAACTTAAAATACATAAACATAAATCTTTTCTTTTAACAGAACAGTACTATACATTTTAAGCATTCTTTACATCTTATTCACATTTTATGTACATCAATAATTATGTCTTTTCCTTTCTCTGTTCTAGCCAATTATAATATTTATTCCAAATTTCATAAAACTCTGTCGCCTCCTTGTCTTTTAATTCTAACGTAAGTTTATTCATTTCTGTGCATTCCAAGATTTTGTACATAATCATATCATTTGTGGGAATATTTTCACTCTTCCAACATTGAGCATATGCTATACGAGCTGCAGTCAATATGTGTATAATGATATGTTGGAATTGTTTTTCCATCTTGGGACTTTTTAAAGGTGTGTCTCACAGTGTTGGGCAGATAAATTTCATGACAGGTTGTTCCAAGAATGTATGTCTCCTAAATTGCCATATAATTTGGAAAGGGGGAAAATAAGGATCATTTCTTCCTTTTGTAAATGTGCTGCTGGAATACACAACTTTTCTTTTTCATCCTAACCCAAATCTTTTCTCTTTTTATTTATCCTTGGGAAGTTCTGGGAAGTGATCAGTGATGAACATGGAATTGACCCAACTGGAACCTACCATGGTGACAGTGATCTACAACTTGATCGCATCAGTGTTTACTACAATGAGGCCACTGGTAAGCCTTCCTCTCCTCTTCCCCCTCCCTCACTGTATGATTTGATCCAAATGTTTTCCAGCAAATACATAGGAACATTTATTGAACTTCCTCATTGTCTCTTCTAGAATCATTTTTTTTTTCTGTTATGTCTTTGTGTATTAAAATGGAACATGAGAGGAATATAGAAGTAAGTATATGGGCAGGAAGTTTTGCTACGAATCTCAACATTCATTATGTGAACTTAAAAGTAAGCTTCTAATACAGGGGTCTTGAAACTTGGCCCTTTGATGACTTGTGGACTTCCACTCCCAGAATTCCTCAGCCAGGCATGCCTGGCTGAGGAATTCTGGGAGTTGAAGTCCACAAGTCATCAAAGGGCCAAGTTTCAAGACCCCTGTTTCTAATAGTTATTTCTTACCTGTGGACTTACGACCAACCCCCAAAAGGGGACTTATGACCCAGATCCTAAATTCCTAAGGTGCTCTCCCTTCCTGTGGTGATGTGACCACCACAGGCACTTGGCAACACCCTGCATTTGCAACACAGTTGCGTTTAAGACTTTGCAGCATTCCGTTGCCATGTGGCTGCATTTTATGACAGTGTCAGACCTCTCTCAACCTGAACCTTTAAAAGGCAAGAACTATCCTTAACTCCATTTGTTGAGAAAGGTATAGTTGACAAAAGGTCAAGTGAATTGCTATAGAGCAAAGCCAGAACTGAAGTTTGCGTGCCAAAATCCCCCAGCTTAACTTTTCCCTCCCTTAGTTGCCTCCTGTCACTGGTTCCTCCAAGTCCAATCAAATTTTTTTTAAAAAAAAGATGTTTTCAGAATGGTCATTTTAAGGCAGAAATGTCGAACACAAGGCCCGTGAAGTGGTTTCATGTGGCCCGTGAAGCCATCCTGGAAACAGTGAAGGAACGGCCTCCACTGCCTTGGCCCTGGCCCAGGCCGGCCAGGAGCCAATGTACAATTTTGTGGTGGCCATCTATACTGAAACGCATTCAGTCTTAGCTCCACAAGGCCGTTTGGAAACGGTGAGGAACCATCCCCTGCTGTGTCGGCCCCGCCCCCTGGGTGCATGCTGGGGAGATGTCACCCTTTGTGAGGAATGAAGAAATGCACCATCGCCTGGAAGTGGCCAGCAAATGGCCCTCGCCTACTTCACCTATCTGGCGTGATGGGCTCCGCCCTGGTCCCACCCCTTTCTGCCAGAGACCCTCAGATCTGTCCCACTCCTGCCCAGGCACCCTTGACGCGAATGATGTAGAGCTGGCCACGCCCACCCAGTAGGCCACACCCACTCCATCCATACCCACCCTGGCCACACCCACCCGGCCTCCCGAGGGCAACCGCAATGCTGATGCGGCCCTCGATGAAATTGAGTTTGACACCCCTGCTTTAGGGATAGGATTTGCATGTAGCTCTGTTCCGTTCCAAGCCATTTAGCCTTGATACTCTTCTTGGAGAGATGTTTCCCTTGAAGCCTCCCTCTTCCCATCTAGCCCCCCCCCCTTTGAGTTTATGGATTACCTCTATTACAGTGTTTCCCAAACTTGACAATTTTAAGGCATGAGGACTTCAACTCCCAGAATTCCACAGCCAGCAACGCTGGCTGTGGAATTCTGGGAGTTGAGGTCCATATGCCTTAAAATTGTCAAGTTGGGAAACACTGCTCTATTAAATTAAAAAGCCTGGCTCAGGTTTAAACTTCATCTTATCCTACAAACGTAGCCTAATAAATTGGATTGAGAAAGGTGTACACTAACATGTATTGGGAAAATGATTATTTTATAATATTTTTAATGCCATATTGAAATGCCTCTTTTTTTTCCCCCTCTCCTTTTTGTACCTCTGATACCCGCTTCTGTGTTCCTTCCACCCATCCTATATATCGAGAGTCTCCAAATTTGGCACCTTTGAGGCTTGTGGACTTCAACTCCCAGAATTCCTTAGCCAGCTGTATTATACTGACTGGGGAATTCTGGGAATTGAAGTCCACAATCTTCAAGTTGCCAAGTTTGGAGAGGCCCCCTGCTATAGATAAGGAATGCCTGACATCCTTTAATTTCATTGACCGACTTACCAATACCTGACCTTTCCTTTGAAATCTAACAAGTAGGCAGAAGCAAGCTATTTGAAAGCCAGGACCCAAATGTAATTTGGTTTTTCATCGGAGGAAGCTCAGTTGGTTACTGCAGTGGACTTAATCTATTACACCTGGACATTAAACCTTTGTTTCTTTCTCTAGGTGGCAAATATGTCCCTCGTGCCATCTTGGTTGATTTGGAGCCAGGAACCATGGACTCAGTGCGTTCTGGACCTTTTGGACAGATATTTCGACCAGATAATTTTGTATTTGGTAAGAATCTTACCGCTTTCCCTGCACCCTTTGCTACTAGTAGCTACATTTGATGGGGGGGAAATATAGAAGGACTATACCTGTTTAGGTTTGAGCAATGTCTTTCGTCAAATTAGGAATCTGGGTTGATAACTTACATTGCTATTGAAGGAGGAATTGAAGAGGTCTTTACAGAGCATTGATACGATGGGAGGGGCAGGCAAAGGTAAGTGTTTTTAGGGCAAGCTGGGATAGTTATTTCTTCTGGAATGCTTGGTTTTGCCTTCCAGGTTTTCAATGTCTCCACTGTGTAAACTTCAATTCCCAGAATTCCTGAGCTGGCACACTTAGGATTCTGGGAATTGAAGCCCACCTAATTTGTAGGAGACTGTAGCAGTTCATTGATACCTAAACTGATGCTCTCTAGATGTGCAGCTAGGCTATCATTTTCATGGCTTGGGTATAAACTGAACTGCAGTCCGAGATATTTGGAGGACACTGTAGAGAGGACTGTATTGATTAAGACTAGAAACCAAAAGGCAATGAGTTCTAGTCCTGCCTTGGGCGTAAAAATCTGGGTGGGGCCAGTCATTCTCAGCCCAGCTCACCTCACAGGGTTGTTGTTGCGGGGAAAAATAGAAGGAAGAAGTATTAGGCATGCTTGCCGCCTGGAGTTATTTATGAAAATAATAATAAAGGGCAGGATATAAATAAAAATTAAGTAATTTATTTTATCCTCCCAATATAATTGATCAGAGTCCCTTAGAGAAAGGTATGGGTCTAGGCTCCATTAAAACAGGATCTCAGAAACTTGGATTCACACAAAGTGTATGAGTCGGAAGGTTCCTCCTATGGTGGGTTTGAAGAATAGTGTTGCACGTTCAAGGAGATAATCTGTACCAGTCTGGTGGGAAAAGGCCAGGAAAGCAGAAGTAGCTTGCAGTCAAAGGAGAAGGGCAGCTACCTAACCCAACACAATAATTTATATCCCATCTTCTTCTGCCCCTTTCAGGCCAGAGTGGAGCTGGTAACAACTGGGCCAAAGGTCATTATACAGAAGGTGCCGAGTTGGTGGATTCAGTCCTAGATGTTGTGAGGAAGGAAGCTGAGAGTTGTGACTGCCTGCAAGGATTCCAGCTGACCCACTCTTTAGGGGGTGGAACCGGTTCTGGGATGGGCACCTTACTGATCAGCAAGATCCGTGAAGAGTACCCTGACCGTATCATGAATACCTTCAGCGTGGTGCCCTCTCCCAAGGTCTCAGATACCGTGGTGGAGCCTTACAATGCTACCCTCTCAGTCCACCAGCTGGTGGAGAACACAGATGAGACCTACTGCATCGACAACGAAGCTCTCTATGACATCTGCTTCCGTACCCTCAAGCTGACCACTCCAACCTACGGGGATCTTAACCACTTGGTCTCTGCCACCATGAGTGGTGTGACGACTTGCCTCCGCTTTCCCGGACAGCTGAACGCCGATCTCCGCAAGCTTGCTGTAAACATGGTTCCATTCCCCCGGCTCCACTTTTTCATGCCCGGCTTTGCTCCCTTGACCAGCCGTGGCAGCCAACAGTACCGGGCCTTAACAGTCCCAGAGTTAACGCAGCAAGTTTTCGATGCCAAGAACATGATGGCGGCCTGCGATCCCCGCCATGGACGCTACCTAACTGTGGCAGCCGTCTTCCGAGGCCGTATGTCCATGAAGGAGGTGGACGAACAGATGTTGAACGTGCAGAACAAGAACAGCAGCTACTTCGTCGAATGGATCCCCAACAACGTCAAGACGGCCGTGTGCGACATCCCTCCCCGTGGCCTGAAGATGGCGGTCACCTTCATTGGCAACAGCACAGCCATCCAGGAGCTCTTCAAGCGCATCTCCGAGCAGTTCACAGCCATGTTCCGCCGCAAAGCTTTCCTACACTGGTACACAGGTGAGGGCATGGACGAGATGGAGTTCACAGAAGCCGAGAGCAACATGAATGACCTCGTCTCTGAATATCAACAATACCAGGATGCCACGGCTGAGGAAGAGGAGGATTTTGGAGAAGAGGCAGAGGAAGAAGCTTGAGGTTAAATCTCGCGCCCTTTCGACACCTGTTCAATAAGTCCGCACAAAATAAAAATAAAAAAAATTGCATCTCCACGCTCTTGTTTCTTTCTCCTCAAAAACCTTGTTTCTTTCTCCTCAAAAACCTAACCTGTCAGCTCTCTTTTCACTCTTACTTTTTTGTTAACGGGGCAGCCTCTAACAATGGTTTAAGGTTGGCTTGGCTTTTTGCATGCATTACTCTTTAGTAGAGGCAGGTACCCAGTAAAATTGGGTAAAGGGAGGCTGTGGGAAGAGACGCAGCTCCCTTCCTTGATCATATTCTTACTGAACTGTATTTATTATTCCCCAACCTTCAATATCTCTGTTGCCAACATAAGTAAAACATGCAATCTCAAAGGCCTCTAGCTATTGATAAGGAAGCAGACAGTTTGAAGCAGAAAACAGATGTCTTTAAAATGGAAACCACTTCCTTGTTCTGCCAAATGCTCCTTTTTATCTTCCTGGCTTTGTCTTAAAGGCATTCATCCTCTGTATTTGCAATGGAAAAAAATCCTTGTGTGGGCTGGATTTTGGCTCTCTCTTTTTTTTTCCATCAGCGTTTCATGTCCATCCCTCCCTCCCAACTTATCTTACTTGGGGTTGACATCTTTCAGATCTGTGACTAACTCTAAGGATGTTTGTCACAGTTTCATGTCTTGCCAAAACTAAAGAAAAAAAATATATTAACAGTCCAGCCTCAAAGTACCCTCTTGCTCTTTTATAGCGGGCCTTTGTTCAGACTTTAAATCTTACTCCTAATCCTAAATTAAATTATTAGTTGAACGCTGCTAACCACTCTAATTTCAGATATAATCCCAAAGAAGTGTCCCATTTGCAAATGCCCTAAATAAGATTTGAGAGTTGCCTTAATGGTATAAGTGGAGAAATGAGGGGGTCTATCTAGGGATGTGTGTCAGTTTAGGATCATTATGGTGCATGCATATTTTAAGTATGAATTTTAATATAGTTGGAACAATCCTGGGTAAGTTTGCATTGCAAGAAAGCTCACTTGCACCCTGTTAAAATTCTGTAAAGAAACACCACTCAATTGTTGCTTAAAGAAGCAGTTCTATTAAATCAGAAGAAGGGAAGGTGCCATATAAGTGCTAATGATTTAAGTTCATTTCAGGGAGAGGTGTAGAGAGAATGTGTTGAAGGTATGTCTACTTCCCAAAAAATATGAAGGAAGTTCAAATGTTCCAGGGTGTGCAAAGGAATGATGTGTTGATGGGATGGATTTATCTTTACCAGTGATGGTGTTCAAATATTTGCTTCAGGTTTGGTTAATAATATACAACCTGCCATCTTGTTGCAGGCTGCCAATACAGAGAGGCCATTTATATGGAGTTAGTAAGGCCTAAGTGGAAAGGCATAAGATGCGTTCGCTCTTTGCCCCCAAATACTATTTTTGGCTAGATGGGTCACCCATAGAAGATTACCATATACCAGTATTTCTCAACTTCAGCAACTTCAAGATGCATGGATTCTTTCTTGCCTTTCTCCTTCTGCTTGTTGACCCAACTTTTCTTCTCACCTGTTCCACTCATTTGCCTTCTTTGCTTTTCCTTCTAAAAAAAAATCCCTGTTCATATTTGAAAAGTCCTGTGAACAAATAAAAGTTGTTTTTTTAAAATGTTTTCTTTGCATTGAGTGAATCTGATCATCCACTTTGTGGGAAGAGCCTCATTCATCCATTAAAACAAAAAACAAAAAAGTGGGATTTCCTAACACTGGTAGTGTCATCTATCTGTCGGGTTGGCTAAAAAATGTTCCCCGAATTCAGGAATGAGTAGGCTAGCCAGTTGGAATTAAAGAAGAGCGTGCAGATTCTGGATTAAGCTGCTTAAGAAGATCTAGAATCCTGATCAGCAAATATTGATTAGAAAATAGCTAGCTACAGTGGTAAATTATTTAGATGGAAAAATGCCAGGAAGGATGGAACGGAGAAAACTCGATCCTTTTTACACCAATCACAAAACTCGATATTTTGTCACCCACCACTGGGGAGACTATTGATGCATTAAACAATGCACCTAACTTGTACATGAAGGAACATGCTATTCTATTACCTGGTTAAATCAGGCGTGTTGGCCAGCCAGGTGAGCCATCATGAGTGGTGGGACTTTCTAGAAGCAATTAAACAGGAGAAGCTGGTTGACTTGATGGGCCTCTGCCCTGAATAACCATTGGTATTTAAATGAGCTGTGGGTAGCGCAGTAGTTAGAATGCAGTACTGCAGGCTAACTTTGCTCACTGTCAGCAGTTCGATCCTGACCGGCTCAAGATTGACTCAGCCTTTCATCCTTCCTAGGTTGGTAAAAAGAATCCAGATTGTTGGGGGGGGGGCAATATGCTGACTATAAACTGCTTAGGGCTGTAAAGCACTGAAGCAGTATATAAGTCTAAGCGCTATTGCTACTTTAATTAATCTTCATAACTCCATTGGCATTTTAGTTAATCTTCATATATTTGCACTGAGACTGATCTGCTTCTCTCTCCCCCCCCCTTGGCAGAAACCTGCATTTCAAAAGAAAAGTCTTTAAAAAAAATGCATTGGATAGGAGGCCAGGATCAGAGACCACCTATGCAGAATAGGCATTTGAACCCGGAACTATGGCTCACTTAGGCTCAATTACAGCAAATCTCAGGTGCCTACAACCTCTGCTGTTCTAAAGGCAGAGATTGCTTCAAGTGAAGTTGCCGCCAGATAATTAAATGGACACATTCATGTCTTAATAATGATAAATTAAAGATTTCAAGGATTTCACATTCCCTGTCTAGTGCACGGCCTCAAGATTTCCTGCTGTCCCCCACCATGACCATGTCCTAAAGCAGTGGTTCTCAACCTGTGGGTCGAGACCCCATTTGGGGTCGAATGACCATTTCATGGGGGTCGCCAAACCATGCTGTCCACCATTTTGTTCCCTTGTCCCTAGCTGTCCTACTCCCTCTTATTGGTGGCCACACCCACTTGGGGTCACCACAACATGGGGAACTGTATTATGGGGTCACGACATTAGAAAGGTTGAGAACCACTGTCCTAAAAAGATTAAATTCGGCTTGAATTGAGGATCAGCCAAGATTTATTAGATTTTTATCCCACCTTTATTATTTTATAAATAACCCAAACATACCTAATATTCCTTCCTTCCTCCTATTTTCCCCAAAACAATGGTGGATTGGGTTGGGAGAGTGTAACTGGCCCAAACTCACCCAACTGGCTTTTGTGCCTAAAGCAGGACTTGAACTTGCAGCCTCCTTTGTTTCTAAGCCAGCCCCTTTAATCACTACACCAAACTGGCTCTCTGTTCAATACGATCCTGTCCAAGTGCCCTTCAAATGTCTCCCGTTGCAATTCCATTTATACCCAAACCATGAAAATGACAGCCTAGCACATCTGAAGGACATCAGTTTAGGTGTCAATGAACAGTGATAGCCCCCTCCCCCCCCCAGCTCTTAAGATTGGCACGGTGTCAAACGGAGTGCCTTCTGTTTTTGCTCAGGGGTGTAGGGCAGTGATGGCGAACCTTTTAGAGACCGAGTGCCTAAAAACTGGCCCCGCCCCCACTCTGCCCCCCCATTCCCCGCTCCGCCTGCTCACAGGACCATTCACCGCCTCCACGGCCCCGCTGCAGATCGCCCAGGCAGCCCAGCAGCACTATGGCGGCCACACCCTCTGCCCACGCCCTGCAGCATCAACTGCATGAAGGGGTGTGAGGGCAGAGCCTTGTCTACGCTGCCTGACTGCCATGTCCTTGCCTGCGTTGCTGGAGAGGAGGGGATCACAGGGGGAGGCAAGGCTGGGGCAACGTGTGCCCACAGAGAAGGCTCCGAGTGCCACCTCTGGCACCCATGCCATAGGTTCGCCACCACTGGTATAGGGGGAAAAAAAACTTATTTTTCCCTCTGGGCCAGGGGTCTTCAAACTTGGCCCTTTTATAACTTGTGGACTTCAACTCCCAGAATTCCTCAGCCAGGCATGCTGGTTGAGGAATTCTGGGAGTTGAAGTCCACAAGTCATAAAAGAGCCAAGTTTGAAGACCCCTGTTCTGGGCTGTTCTTTTTTCCTCCTCTGTTAACAAAGGCTGCCAAAAGGAGATGGAGGAAGGGCTAAGCAGGGCGCTCCGCTCCGTGCATGTGGCAGACGGGAAAGAGGCTGGAGAGAGAAGGGGGGGAGGTGGGGTTGGGCTCAGGCTTTCTATACATGGTAGCAGCCGGGCTCCAGTGGGTCACGCTGTGTTGAGCTATCATACTTTGTGCGTGCTTCATCATATTTTGTGCGTGCTTCATCAGATTTATGTTCTAACCACACCACTGGAGAGATCGGCTCTGTTGCTTGCAGGAGTAATTAATAGGTTGAGAATTGAAAAGAAGGCAAGACAAGAAATGGTGGATAGAAACTAATCAAGGAGAGAAGCAACCTAGAATTAAGGAGAAACTTCCCAACAGTGAGAACAATTCATCAATGGAACAGCTTGCCTTCCAAAGTTGTGGGTGCTTCATCACCGGAGGTTTTAAAGAAAAGACTGGAGAGCTATTTGTCTGAAATGGTATAGGGCAGCGGTTCTCAACCTATGGGTCGCGACCCCATTTGGGGTCAATCGACCATTTCACGGGGGTCGCCAAGCAAGACTGTCTGCCATTTTTTTCCCCTTTTCCGGTGGGTGCCTTACCTCCCTTGGGCCGGACCAGCTGGTGGCCCAGCCGGTGGTCGGCCTGCTCCGTCTCTGCCGCTTGCCAGCTACGCCTCAGCCGGCGCAGGGGGCGGCACCACGCATGCCCGGCGCTTCCGGGCAGGGAAAGTCCTCGACTTATGACCAGTTGGGTAGTCCTTGACTTATGACCGGTTTAGTCCTCGACTTATGACCGGTTTAGTCCTCGACTTATGACCGGTTGGGGGTCGCGGCATTAAAAAGGTTGAGAACCACTGGTATAGGGTCTCCTGCTTGAGGAGGGGGTAGGACTAGAAGACCTCCAAGGTCCCTTCCAGCTCTCTTCTGACTGATACTTCCAACTTGCTGAGAAGATGAATAGAATAGAAGGGTATGTGTTAGGGGGAGACAAGCTAATCCATATTACTAGCAGGCCAAGGAGCAGAATGTGTAAAGGTGTTTGCAATGAACGGGTTGCATCATATAAGGTGGCCATCATTCTTTCAGGATTAGCAAGCCATTTCATATGCTTCTAGTGTTGAGATGTTGAGACTCTGGAAAGAATGCAGAGAAGAGCAACCAAGATGATTAGAGGGCTGGAGCTAAAACATATGAAGAACAGTTGCACGAATTGGGTTTGTCTAGTCTAATGAAAAGAAGGACGAGGGGGTGACACAACAGCAGTGTTTCAATATCTAAAGAGCTGCCACAAAAAGAGGGGGGTCAACCTATTCTCCAAAGCACCTGAAGGCAGAATAAGAAGGAATGAATGGAAACTAATCAAGAAGAGAAGCAACCTCGAATTAAGGAGAGATTTCCTGACAGTGAGAACCATAACCCAATGGAACGGTGTGCCTTCAGAAGTCATGGGTTCTCCATCACTGGAGGCTTTTAAGAAGAGATTGGATAACCATTTGTCTGAAATAATGGTGTCTCCTGCCTGAGCAGCAGGTTGGTCTAGAACAGTTTTTAATGCCGCGACCCCCAACCAGTCGTAAGTCGAGGACTTTCCCTGCCCTGGAGCGTCGTGCATGTGTGGTGCCACCCCCTGCGCCGGCCGAGGCGTAGCTGGCAAGCGGCAGAGACGGAGCAGGCCGACCACCGGCTGGGCCACCAGCTGGCCCAGCCCAAGGGAGGTAAGGCACCTGCCGGGCCTCACGCGCGCCAGCAACCCTCCCTGCGCCTGCCGGCTTCCCACCTCTCACCCCTGGCCCTCTTTTACTTACATTTTTAGTAGTTGCTCAGCAGGGAGAGGTGGAAGCTTCCAGACAGCTCACTTTCGCTGCAGACAACTTGCAGCACCGTTTGCAGAATGGGACTTTTGATGGGCTCAGCAGGGCAGAGACAGCCTGGACAATTCCTATTGGCTTTTGAAAGCCAATAGAATGAGACTCTATTCAAGAGAGTCTATTCTATTGGCTTTCAAAAGCCAATAGAATAAAAGGGAGTAGCACAGCTAAGGAAAAGGGGGAAAAATGGCGGATTGCATTGTTTGGCGACCCCCGTGAAATGGTCGTTCGACCCCAAATGGGGTCCCGACCCACAGGTTGAGAACCACTGGTCTAGAAGACCTCCAAGGTCCCTTCCAACTTTGTTATTCTATTATGTGATTTTCAACCTTGGCAACTTTAAGATGGCTGGACTTCAACTTAAATATGGATCTATTTAAGGCACATATCCTGGTCTACATTTTTTTTAACCAAAATGATTAATCAATAGAATCTTTGAATGTGTCATCATTCAAAAGAAGATAAATGGTAAACATCTGTAAGCATAACAGAAATCTTTGTCATTTAAATATTTCATTTTAAACTTGGGGGATTTGATTTTTATACTCTTGGTCCAAGTAGGCTTAGCGTGTTGGAAAAATGCAAACAAAGCTTTATTTTGACACAATTTGGTCAACAAACTGCACAATCAACTGTGTTGACCCATGCCTTTTTTTATGCTAGGAAATGCTCCACAATACTTTTGAGTCTGCTTAT